GCCTTATAAGTAATCTTATAAATAGGGCTTTATATTTTTTTATTCTCTAATATAAATTATATAAGTAATATAGTATATCTAGAAATATTATAAAGTTTTATTTAGCTTTTAATTTATTTATAGCTAACTTTATATATTTATAAACTGTTTTTCTTCTTATATTATCTATAAAAGATTTATAAAAAGTCTATATCTAATTTATATATTTAGTTAAAATTCTTTACTAAATTATATAATTTTAGCTAGAGCCTTTATTATATAATATATTTCTTTTAATTTCAAATCTATTCGGGATAAATTTAAAGCAAAATTATTAATTAGTCTCAGAGCTTATATAGAGCTATTAATTAATAATTTTAGTAAAATAGCTTCAAACTTGTCTATATAATAGCTATATTAAATCTATAGAAAACTTTTTTTATTATATAACTAGTTTTTATTTATATAGAAATATTAAACCTATATAGGCTCTATTTGTATTTTATTTATACTTTACTTATATTTTACTTATATTTATAATATCTGAATTAAATTAATTATATTATTCTAAATATTACTGCCTTTAATTAATCTTCTAGTTTTCTTTTAAAGATAACTAGCAAACTATAATATATAGTTCTTGCTTCAAATAATAGACCTTATACTATATAGCGATTTAGGGGCAAGAGAGAGAGAAAGAGGAAAAGAGAAAAAGAGAGAGGAAAAAGAAGGGAAAAAAGAAATAAGCTATAGGTAAATTAACGGATTTATTTATAGGTAAGCTAACTTTTCTAGGGCCGTAAACCTGTTATTTAAGCTATTTATAATTCTGCAATCTCGGCCGTTTCCTTATCTATAAGCCCTATTATCTCCGGAATTTAAAGGCAAAGTATTATTGAACTCTAATAACTTATATTCCAAACCCTCTTCTAACTTGAGCCGAGCTTACGGATTATATCTAGTACCGGTAGTAAGCTACCGGAAAGAGAGAGAGAAAGTTTACTAGATACCGGGCAATTATAGTCAATAATTATATCCGGAAGCTGATCTAAGAAGAGGAGTAGAAGCTTCAGGACCGGCAGTAGCAGTATAAGGATAGAAAGGTAGAGAGAAGGGTTTGGAAGATAGAGAGTAAAGAGCGAGTAAGAGAGTTATAGGTATAAAGAGGCCAGTTTCTAGGGGAGGGAGAGTTTGAGGTATAGTAGGAGGCGAGGGAGAAGAAGTAGTAGAGAGTAAGTAAGAGATTAAAGGAGGGGGATAGGGAAAGGAGAAAGATAAAGAAGGATGGAGAGAAGTAGGCTGAGTGGGCAGAGAGGGAGGAGCAAGAGAAGAGAGGGAGGGAGGAGAGGGAGGAGTAAGAGAAGAGAGAGAGGAAGGGGCAGGCTAAAGGACTAGTAGGGAGGTAATTAGAGAAGATATATATAGACGAATACTAATATTGCGATAATTATTAGCTTTAATTCCAGGGCAAGTGAGGCTTGGGAAGGCCTGCGAGAAGGAGAGAGCTCTGCGGGTGCAAGTGAGGCTTGGGAGGGAAGGAAGAGCCCTATAAGTAAGGGTGCAAGTAGGAGTGAGGCTTGGGAGGGGCCGTGAGAGGAAGAGAGCTTTGCGGGTGAAAGCAAGGCTTGAGAGGGAGTTACGGGTGAGAGTACAGGTAGTAAGGGGCTTGTAGGGCGACTGAGGCTTGGGAAGGCCTGCGAGAGGGAAGGGAGAGCTTTGCGGGTGAGAGTGAGGCTTGAAAGGAAGCTATAGGTAAGAGTACGGGTAGTAAGAGGCTTGCGGGGGCAAGTGAGGCTTGGGAGGGCCCGTAAGAGATCCGAAAGAGCCCGTAAAAGTAATACTACTTCTCTTATAATCGAGAAAAGCCCTTAAAAAAACTAATTTCCCGTACGCTTATATATTATATTAGTATAAGCTTGCGAGTATAATATAGCTATATTTAAGAAAAAGGTTTTATAAGTAAAAGTAGGGCTTAAACGGGCTGATAAAAGGAAAGAGAGAGCTTTACAGATATAATTAAAGACTCTAGTAATTCGCAAAGAGAAGTAAAGAGCTTTATAAATAAGAGTAAGGGTTAGAATAGCCTGTAAAGAAGGGTAAATAGCTTTGTAAATAGAAGTAAGCCTTGGGAGGGCTTATAAAAGAGAAGGGAGAGCTTTATAAGTATAATTAAAGAGTATAGTAGTTTATAAAGAGAGAGAGAGAGGGAGCTTTATAAGTGAGTATAAGGCTTAGAAGGTCTATAGGTAATAAGAGAGCTTTATTATAAGAACGTCACGTGACCCTCTTAATCTCGAATCGAGATCAGGGCAAAATTAAAGACTGGCCCCGGAGCTTATGTAGGGCCGCCAGGCTTGAATTTTAGCGAAGCGGCCCTGATCTCGTAATGATCACCGAAGAATATTTCAGGTTGTGCGAAGACCACCAGAAAAGTCAGACTCTAATCTCATCCTCGCCGGCTCCGTTTTAGTCTCCGGACGTGAGCAGCTGCTGCTTTAACCTGAGCTGAGGGTGAGTGTACCTGAGCAGAGCCTGAGCAGAGCCTGAGCACCCTGAGCACTGTAATGTGGAGCCCATTGTGGCCTTCTGTGTGCCCCGGCTACAGTTTCTTTGCCGGACCATGCCCGGGAATCTGTTTTTGCTCCTTTACAGAGTTCCTGCTAGAAGTAATTTTGGATCCCTCTTGTCAAAGAGCACATGACTAATAATTCAGCCCACAATGTTACGCGGACCATATGCAAGTCGATGATTTTGCGCAGAATTATTCTATGAGGAAAACACCAGAAGGGGCATAGCTTACATAAGGGCTAGATACCACATATTCGAGAACCTCAGACAAGTTTCAGGCTAACACACAATGTTAGAATATGGTGGGCTGTTTTGATCTCGGTGTGAGTCATGGGACCTATCACATGATGATTGACAGTGTGTCAAATGATTTAGCTTGATTTGATTATCGCCTCTGAATCAAATCAAATCAAGTCAAAATCTACTGAATCAAATCATAATTAATTATAATTAACTAGCCTTGATTTTTTTTGACACACTGATGATTGACACCTCCGTCTCTTTCCTTTATTGGGTATGAGAAAGGAATGGATGGGGTGTTGCGTCCGGTGCTGGCGTCTTTGAACTCCAGTTCATACTCGGTAAATCTGTGCATCTCCGCGCATACCAAATGTCGAGGACTTGTGGCGATTGTAGTTTTGAGACTGAGATTGGAATCAGCGCTAAGAAATCTATTTACATTCTCACGTTACCACACAGCCACGATATGATCAATGAGATCGGCCCCTATCAAATCCGGCAAGCAAAGAAACCACAATTTACATATACCCCAGATCATAGCCCCTGACGCTAACGCCGCCATCGCGCAGTACTTGCTCTCTCCCTGACTACACCCTAGAGCCGGGAATTCTCAGCCTCCCAATTCTTCTTTTCCAGCCGCTCAGCGAATGCCAACACCTCCTTACGGTTTTCATACGCCCACAGATCCAACATAGACACTGACTTTGAAGGATTGCCAACCCATGAAGTCAACCTTCCCTGATCACGGGAAGAGCTTGTTGTCCGATAGTGTGTGGAATGGCTAGGAAATCTCAAATCATTGGTCGATCCTGGCGATTGGGGACGGATGAATAAATACCTTGCATCGTTGGAAGTTGAAGGGGCGGGGTACTCAGGATGTTTAGATGATGTGATGGGTTTTGGAGACATGACGTGGCCCTGTTCGATCGAAAGGGTATTTGTGCTCACAATGGCTGACAACTTCTGCGAATCTCAATGCTGGTTCGTACCCAAATGAAACGTGCAGAGTGAAATGTTTGAATATAGTAAGTAGTATTGAGATCAGGCTCGAGTAGGGGACGATGGCGTAATTTCTTTTCTTATTGAAGGAGCGTGGAGAGATTTCGTGGAAAAAGTAACTGCACTTTGGTTCTTAAGTAAAGGCTCGCATTTGGAGGACATCTTCTTGAATGAGAGGACAACAACATAGCGCAAGAGGTTATTTCATGTCAGGGACAACTGCTTGTAAGAAAGTGGTGCAGATTCGGGAGTATCAGAGCTAGAGGACAAGAGTGAGGACTTCTCGCCTGAGAAGAATAGAGTAGTCAGTTGGAGGACAGAGAGGACAATAGGGAGTCATACAATGGGGCAAAAGGGTTTTGAAACAGGCCATACTTATTCCAAGCGAGAGGACAAGTGAAGTGGGAGGACAAGAGCACCGGCCGGTCATAGCCGACTCTCAGCCGACTCTCGCCCAGGTTCATTGGTATAAAAATGAAGAGTTCGTTGTAAAGCTATTGTGGTCATCGTGAGTCATGATCTCATTCTTCACTTATAAAGCCCTGGGTTTATCTCACAAGCCAGACGCTTCTTGACGGTGTGCGTGGCTGCCTTACAACCTCAGGCCCTAATTGGCCAGATTACTTGGAGTTGTCCGACTTTGTTATTAAGCGAGGAAACCCAACCCAAATAGGCAGAGATCCAAAAAATCCACGGCACTATCTGCGAAGCGTCTGAGGGTTTTTTGATTCCGATTTTGGCTGTCGTAGAAATAAATAGAATTATAATAATAATAAAAAAGAATTTTTATAATTAGTTATGTGAGAATGTAAAGATTTGGTCGATGAAATCTTATTAATCCTATATAAAGGATTCTAAACCAGAGAGCAAAGAAGAGAAGAGATGTTGCATGGCAACTGTCACGTGCTGGCTCACGTGACCACACTCCTTGTATTTAAGCTCTGGCCTTCCTGGCCACGCCTCTCTTTCTTCCAACATCTAGATTATCACACATTATTACAATATATCATATTTATATTGTAACAAGAGAGAGTTCAAGACTATAGAAATGGAGATAATTCGGGACGAAAATGGTGGAAGGAAAAAATGGCGGTGGCTCAAGCCTCCATGTTTCACCCCCCCCCCCCCCAGAAAAAAAGTCAGGTGATCATTCCACCCCAAGCAAACTGAAGTTTCATGTGAAGAATGCCTGCATTTCCAGGAAAAAAGTCCTCCAGCCGCAAGGCGGAGCACAAGTGCGAACCAGCAACCCAGTAGTCCTCCCGGGGCTGCGAGGACAATAAAACATGGCCACCTCGCAGTAAGGCCACGTTCCTTTCATCCTTCTTTCTCATAACTTCTGCCTTCTCTTTGAATCCTCACTACGCCGTGGAGGGTGCGGATTTTTCGGTGTCTCAGTCCAATCTCACACTCCGCACGTCCGGCCTCCGATCGCCAGCCCCCGCATCTAACAATGGGTTCGTCAAGATTAGGCCCGCCGCTCTCCAGCACTTGTGGAAGATGCAGCTACTCTGCTTGCATCTGCTATAAAACAGCATCAAAAGTTGCGCCTGCCGAATATGCACCTTTTGGTATCTATCCCGGCGCCGTACCGAGCACCGAGAGAAATAATGCCGTCGGATATGGATATTTCACCAACAGGTTTCACAGTGAAGTAGACGGGCTTCAAGCTGGTGTTGACTATCTGGATACATTCGAAGAGCAGGCTGAGGAAACACCTTTGGGTCGAATTCGTGGCAAATCTTTCAAGAGACTGCTAGAGCTCGAGCAACAAGGTCGAGACTTGGGCCCCCGTTGGAAAAATAGGGAGAGGGTGGACAAGACTCCCCAGAAACTAGCTACTCCAGATGTTGCCCTAGATACATATTCGATAGATCCATATTCGATCCCCCCGCACTGCATTTTTGGTCTCCACGATTCTTACACAGATCAATTCTTCCAAGATGGTACCGTCCCCTCGTTGGTTGACGCCAATGACGATTCCTGGAAGATCCAATTTGATTATGAAGGCAATGAGTGTGACCGACCGGAGCTGTCAGAAGACTTTTTTTCTCAACTGGGCCCAGCCCAAGAGCAGTTGACTGGCGTTGCATATGAGTCAGTTCGGATCCACTCACACGAGGAGAGGGGCTACGCGAGCCAGCAGTATACGTGCAGCAAGGAATTACCTACAATCAATGAAGCCCCTTCAGAGGAGACCACAAATGTGGAGATCGACGAACCACCAACAATTGCCAAGAAAGTTCCACAGAAGTCTCAATGGGCAACGCTACAGGAACTTCGCCTGTCATCCAAATTTCACTACATGAAGTTCCTCAGACTCACTGCCAATCACAACTCAAGAGGGATCAAAATGCTGAGACGAATGTACGGCAGCCCGAAAGGAATGCTTGGTACAGGCATAACGACCTTTAGAGACGTACTTAAGGGCCAAGAACCTCAGTCATTGAAGGAGATTTTTGCCTTTACCTGTCTATCCTATGTTATGTCCAATCTACTCCAAAAGCATGGGAGGATAGAAGGTTCTCAGGTTTTGGCTGATACAGATCGATGGCGACTGGCTATCAAGAAAGAGAAGGATAGGCTTGTCTATGATGAGGTTGTCAAGATATTGTGGCCCGAAATTAACTTCCTCAAGGAGCATTCAAAAGAAAAAGATGCCAATTCAACACCGCCTCCGACAGAGCCACATCTGGGCAGCATGGTTCCCACTGGTCTGACATTCGACGCCTCGACTGGGCCTCTCTATGTCCCATCGTCGATGTTGGCATATGGCACGACTGCATCATCAGACTTCAACTTCCTCGAAAGAGCTCGGGCTGCAGACTGCTCCAACATTGAAAACGATATACGGTCTGCACTTCAAGATCTAGACAGCCACCTCGGCCCAGATAATCAGCCTCATGACTACGGATTGCATGACCATGTCAAGGGACTCTTGCAGGAAACAAGTACACATGACAATTTCATGTTTGCGGATTTCTTGAACTTCTATGATCCGCATTTGGAGAACAACATAGACGCTGCGTCTGAGAAGCAGCCGCCAGAAATCGCGCCAACGACACATCCGCCAGACCGCCCACCCCAGATTTTCCCGCCTAACGAGCCGGTTAGCACACTCGATCCGGAGAAATTGGGCAACTCTTCTCCGCCGGTCGCCGACTCCAAGGTGCTGGACCAGACAGAATTGTTAGCGCCAAAAGCAGATGAGGTTCCCGCAGTTCCACCCTTGCTGGGAAGTCTCATTGAGACAATTATGTTTCAAGTCGCGGTGGAGTTCATGAAGTGTATGTGTTTCACTTTCTGCTTTCTTCTTCCTCTTTCAATCCCCCTGACTTCAGCATACCCTTACTAATGGACGTAGTCATCACGAGCCTGGGAGATCTTCTATTCCGCTTATCCGGCTGTGGTATCACCTCTCGTCGCAAGAAACACGAAGTTGAGGGCTACACTCGACCCGTTCAAGAATTCGGCGAGTTTGTCACTAGAGCCGTAAAGCTTGTTCTTGAACCCATAAAAGAGGACTTAGGTGAGGTAGATGAGTCCGTTGACGCTGTGCTGTGCATGGCAGACTCTTTCGTGAGGCTTGGCCGTCTTCACACCGTGAGAGAGATTGAAGAATATATCATCACCACCGCGCGTGTAAGCTTTCATTACCCGCGTTGATGATCTATTGCTGATATTGGATCGAAGCATCTTGCCTGTAATTATACATCGTTCACTACAATCGTGTCGAAAACATTAAAACGATGCCTAGCTGCTTCTGATCAAATGACATGGGATCATATATACCCTAGCTATGCTGCTGACCAAGAAGACTACTCAACCACGTACATCAAGAAGACGGAGGCAACAGAAATCGAGTGGGCAATACAGAACTTCAAAAAGGAGGACGATGGCGAGAACAACGTCAACTTCACCACCATCAATGTCATTCAAACTGCCGAACCTATCACCACACGGCATGAAAGCAGTTCGTCCTCCCACTCAGACTCACTCCCGTCAAAAAAACAAAAGTATACCAGCCTCTTTCTCTTCCTCCTCCCTTCATCGATCTTAAGACTAACAAAACCCCAGACTCTCACCCCCCTCCCCGAATTCCAGCAACGAGCGCCAATCCTCCACGACCCCTGCCTCCAGCTCCAGCGGTGACCTCCCCGCTCCCTCAAAAGCGCACTGCCACTACTTGCACTGCAAGAGATCGTACACCGGCAAAGACGCACGCATAAACTTGCGGCGGCATATCAGGACCCTGCACGAAGGATGCAAGGCGATCAAGTGCCCGAACTGCAGATATGAGTCGTCGAGACGGGATAATGTGCGGAAACACTTTTTGTTGAAGCATAAGGGGGAGGATGTGCCGGCGGTATTGATGTGCAAGACTAGGGCTTAGGGGGTGTTTGGATTTGTGGGAGGCGTTGGTTGGGAAAACTTATAGCGTTGTGCGGGATTTGGGGTGGGATGCAAGATATAATGAAGTGTGGGATTAATAGTTGGAAGATATCATGGAACGGGAGTATGTCAAAAGAAAATTATTTGATGGAATACAGGCTGGTCTTGGTAGGGACGTGATATTATGAACGGATCCATAGATTAGGAGCGCTTGTTTTGTCTTTATGGACTTCACATACCTTTCTTGGCGCACAGCATCTTCAAAATCATTTAAACATTGTACATTCAAACGCTACCCGTCCCCCATCTCAAACATCCCCATCCAAGCGAGTATTCTATATATCCAAATATCGGCGATCTTCGTCGTGGTCCCTTATAAGTAACCTTTTAAAAGCTAATTTACCTGCTTAAATTAGCACCTTTGTGGCTGTTAGCAGCACAGATATTATAATATCGACAGCATCTTCAGGCCGCAATATTTCCGACATGTTACACTCTAGTAATTGTGTTATTAATGCTTTGAATCTGCTTCCACTAAGGTGCCCGTTACGTCAGGGGTTGGTGTGCAGGGGCTCTCGCCTTCTAGGACGGCGTTTTCTTCCACAGCCATATTAGGGAGCTTGCGAGAATCGAAGGTAGACGAGGGACCGGTTTAGTGTCGAATGTGATCAGGTGACTGTACTGATCACGTGCAAGGCCAACTAGCCAGTACCAAAATGTATATAAACGGAGCTTTCCCCTCGATAGATTCTGTAGAGCAATCAATCATTTCAAGACCCACTTATCCTTACACGTGTGACCATTCAATATTTAGGATTATTAGGAGCCTATTTAGATTTCCTGGGATAATTATTAAAACCAGGCTTGGCAAAAATACCTAAATTTCCGGTATTAATAAGTATTAATGCCAGAATCGTAAGGTATTAATAGTATTAATAGTAGTATTAATTCCCTGAACCTAATTTTCCCCTTTAATTACAATTAACTTTTGAACTACTTCTCTTATAGAAAGTTTTTGGTAGTATAAATATTCTCCTTAATTTAGGCTTTCTATCTAGCTACTTATTTTATACTTTAGGCTAAAACTAATCTTAATATAGCCATTTTAAGTAAAAATAAGCTTTTGAGATTTTCGTAAGGCTTACTTATATATTTAGTACTTTAATAAGAAATGAAAATAAACTATAATAACTTAATACCTTCTTATAATATAGTCTAGTAACCTGTAATAATTGGTCTACCGATTATCTGTCTCTTTAGAAAGGTATAAGGCTAGAATTAAGTCCCGAATTAGTAATAATAATCGAATCTCCTTCTTCTTTACTACTATTACTACTCCGACTCGAATTAACTCCTTCCCTTAACTCGAGACTCATATCTCCTCTATTATTTAATATTAATATATAATATTCGCTTACCCGTCTCTAATTAACTAAGACTTTATAAGAAATTAGTATCTTATTTTACTTATTAATAAAGGAAGTCCGATTCTTTATATACTAATAATATATATCCTTAACCGGAATTAAAAAGATATTAAAGATATATCTAATAGGTATTTTTATACTTGAGTTTATTTATATTATTAAAAGGCTTAGGCTATAAAGATATATTAAGGCTATTACAATTTAGCTTTTAACCTCATTAGCTAATATAGTTAGCTAATATAGTTACCTATATTCCATTACTTATATCCTATTACCTATATCCCGTTGCCTTCTAGATATATATAATGCGGCCGCCTTACTAGGGAAGTAGGCTTGAAATATACTAGAGATATTTAGAAAACTAAGCCTTTTTAGGACTAGTATACTATAGGATATATATACTTCCTTATAGCCTTCTATATTCTAGTTTTCCTTTCCTTAGCTTTAAATCGTTTTTATAAGAGACCTTCTATCTTACTTTTCAAGCCCTGAATATTATATTTATAATAGTATTTAAAGCTTATTTCCTTTAATTCTATAGAGGATTTCAAATAAACCAATTTAGAATTATTAGTAATATAGGTACTACTAAAATAATAGAACCTTAGAAACAAGAGTAATAGACTCCAGAATAATAAAAGCGAAAAGCTTTAGAACCTTTAGAGGAATCAGGTATTTATACCTTTATAAATATATACTAGTAATATATTAGAAATCCCTCCGAAAACCCGAAAATTAAAGAACCTCGAATAAAGGCTATTCTTTAACTAAGTCCTAGAGTAATAGATATATATAGGCCAGTAATCTGACTATTACCCTTAAGCCCTATCTTATAATTTTATAGGCCTTATATATATACCGGTAATAAGATTACTAGAGAGGATATAGTAAAAGAAAAGTATAATAGATTAATATTCTAGGATACTATATAACTAGGAACTATATTAACTTCTACTAAGGCCTCTAGTAAAGCTTCTACTAGTTCAGGTTATTCTATTAGTAGCCCTTTCCGAACTAAATATTCTATTAGTATTTCTAGAAAATTTATAAATAAGTTTATAGAAATAGAACTTTCTGCTTTTATTATAAAGCTCTTAGAGACTAATAATTATATTACTACCGGAGAGTTATATAAATAGGCTAAGAAACCTAATATCTTACTTTCAGATATTAATATTATTATAAAGAGCTATTAGAAAAATATCTAAAGAGCTATTTTATATAAAAATACTTATAGTTATAATAAAGCTATTCTTAAGAATACTAAGCTTTATAATACTAAGCTCGAGAATAAAATCAAATACTATATAGTTATAATAGATTAGTTTATAATAGTTCTAGCTATTTCCGCTCTAGCTATTCCGAATTTTTCTTGAAAGAATTCCGAACTATTTCCTATTTATTCTTGTCCAGAATTTCTTATATCTTATACTTCTTTTAGAGCTACTAGAATTACTAAACTTTTAGATCTAACTCTTTTTACTAGAAATTATACTATTTTCAATAACTGGCTAGTTTAGATTAAGAATAAGCTATAAGAAAATACTAATTTATATTCCTTAGAGAATCTCAAAATTATCTATATTTCTAGTAAATTTACTAGTAATACTTTTGCCTTAACTAATTCTTATATAGATAAAGATAGTTCGAATTAGTACTATTAGTTCTTAGAGTTCTATTCCTATTTAAAGAAGCTATTTTCTGACTCTAATAAGATATAGAATACTTATTATAACTTTAGTAAACTTTAAATATACTTTAGTTAAATATTTTAGAAGTTCTATACTTTCTTCTTATAACTATTTATAGAAAGTAGTATTAGTTTTTAAGATATTAAGTATAAACTAAATAAGAAGCTTCTATTAAAGCTCTAGAAGTTAGTATATATATACTATAATAATTCTTCTATTAATACTACTTGCTTTATTTAGTATTATATTACTAATAACTAGTAAATTAAGACTATATATAAGAAAACTAAGAAATATAAGAAAGTAAAAGCTATTTCAGCCAAGTTTACTTCTAGTACTATATTTCTATATATTTCTAAGAAGTATATTCCTAAAAAGAAGCCTAAAGAGCCTATATTAATTACTTTTATTAAGTATATACCTCTTTATAAGTATAAGTAATATTCTATAAAAACCGAAGATCTCTTAACTATTAGATACTATAACTATAATAAGTTCGGCTACTATATTAGATATTATCCGGTTCTATATAGTAAGAAAACTAAGATAGCTTTTTCTAGAATTAAGCCAGACTTGGTTTTTATTTTACTAGAATATATTATTTTAGTAAAATATTTAGAGAATTCGAATTCTAATTCTAGTATAGAACCAAAAAATAAGTATTTTTAAAGAAAGTCTTTATTTTAGAGGCTTATAGTATAAATTTAGTAGAGATTAATTTAACTTATCTAATAAAAGAAGATACTTTTATAATATTCTATATTATTAATATAAATAGATTAGGAATTAAATCTTTTTCTTTTATTAATACTAAAGCTAATAGTTATACTTTTATTAATATAAAGCTTATTTAATTTATAAAGCGATTCTTAAGGATAGAACTATAACCTCTTTTTTTACTCTATACTATATACGGTTTTAATAGAAAGCTAGATAAGTTTACTAAGAAATATATAGAAGTCTTATTTCTAATTAATAGATAAAGTATTAATATATTTATAATTATTCTAAATCTTAGAGATTATAATATTATTCTTAATAGAAAATAGATAGTATATATTAATATTCTAGTTAATTATAGAAAATATAGGCTTATATAGCTAAATAATAAGCCTAAATCTATATAATTCAGTTATATTATTAGTATTTTTTAATAATAGCTAGAGAAATAATCTAATAAGAAGTATTAAAAAGATACTAATTAAAAAGATTCTATTATAAGCTATTTCTGGAAATCTTTTATTCTCAAGTAATTTTTCTTTTTTCAGACTAATTAGAAGGAATTATATAAAACTATAGAGAAGAAGCTTCTATAATCTAATTAAAATATAATACTTAAGTAAAAGCCGAAAAAATAAAAAGAGGTCCTTAATAAAAAGCAAATATTAGATCTAGCTATTCTTATTTCTATAGTATTTAATTATATAGCTAAGAGAGAAGATAATATTATTAATTAAATCTCTATTTATAAGATTAATAAGGAGCTTAAAGCTCGGAAAAAAGAAGCTATTTCTGGCCCAGAGAATTAATAACCGGAAGAAATAAAGCTTTAGTAACTATAGAGAATATTACTTTTGGAATTTAAGAAATATACTTCTATTTTCTTAAGAAAGAAATCTAATACTTTTTTTTTCTATAAATTATATAATTATAAGATTTAGATTAAAGGCTTAAAGGAAATCGAGAATATTAGATATTAACTTCTCTAGTAATAGTCTATTTAAGAGCTTCTAGAAATTAAGTATTTCTTAGAAAATAATCTAGCTAAAAGATTTATTAAAACTAGTTAGGCTCTCTTTCCTTTACTAGTTCTTTTTATAAAGAAAGCAAATAGAGGTTTATACTTTTATATTAATTTCTATTATTTAAATAATATTATCCGAAAAAATTAATATTTTCTTTTACTTATTAAT